ATAAAACAAGGTCGTCTGCAAACAGCAACCTTCTCGACTTCACATCTCCTATACCGATACCCTCATCACTACTCTTTAGCTTTTACATAAATCGGTTAATTTTTTATCTAATATTCTGCCAAAATATGTTCATCGTGCTCACCAATCTGCTAGAAACCTCATTTAAGCAGTCTGCGAAATGCAGAGACCGAGATGACACTGTGGATAAGAACGATTTCAAATTTGTCGTAAGAACGCCTTCTTGTCGTGTCAGTTGAAGAACTTTGGGCATATAGATTTTGCGAATAACTCGATGATAGCATTATGTACATATGCCGTAGCATTTAGTTGAATTTATGGAGCGGACATTACGTAGTAAGATGGTTCTCCAGCTTATTTACCTGCTCCAAATTCGCACTTAGGCTAATTTTCGAATTTCCACTTGTAAGTATGGTCCACATATCCACCGTAGCCCGTTCTTGTGTGATTATTGGACAGTACAACAGAAAGCAAGTTGTGGCAGTCATGAATTAATGTTTTACATCAGCAATCGTTGTGTTTTAATTTCATATAAATGTCATAGATATGCCCTTGTATCGTAAACCCGCCAGAAAGAATTAATTGACTTCACCTGACAAAAAATTACGTCTTTCTGAGATTGCAGAATTTCAGTTCGTGTTCGTCTGCAGCGTTACTACTTCTCATATGATTATAGCTTCAAGGCAGAATGTATGGAAAGCTATGTTGAACACAGCAGCAGAGAATGGCCATAAAAACAATAAACTAGAGCGAATTTTTTAAGCCGAAACATGCTTCAGGTTCTACATCCAAAAAACTAACTACCATGTACAAAGCACGCAAACATTTCTTTCATTTAACATTTTCAGAATATGAATAGCAAAAACAGTAAATTAATAATATGCCATATTCTACTTCTAAAGACGACGGACAAGAATGATCAAAAAACAGAAGGCCAAAAATGCGTTTGACAATACCAACTTAACTGTTTTTTATTCATTAATTTTACACAACAATTTCATTGACAATCAGAATGGAGGAAACAAATTGCTTTTATGCATTTTGCACAATAAATTCATACTCTTAAGAAAAAGAATGTATGTCATAATGGATACCCGAGAGATGGCACCTGTAGTCTTGCCTCTAAGAGAAAACTTTAGAAAAGTCAGATCGTCTGCGCGTTTGGCGTTCTTGTGCGGTTGGCATGACCGGTAGAAGCCAGTCATCGTACGACAGTCATTCTGAAGTTAGCAATATTTTGCATAGGTCACGTGATCGATTAGTATTTATTACAGAAAATTAATGTCATGTATTTTGTATAATTTAGGGAAAAAACTTTTGTAGGTATTACAGCGAGTCGAGCGACAGAATGTCTGCTGGATAATTCGATCTTAGTTACCTTCAGGGACAAGGAAAATTTTATAACTGTTAGAATGTCGGCCTCCCTTGCCAATTATGTTGCCCATACAGACATAGCATACATACATGGTGTATGGTGGGTCGCTGATCTCCAGTTCTATGCTATTAGCCAGACGTGCCTTATTTTAAACAACGTCGATCAACATGAGCTAGATGATAAGTTTAGTTTCTTGTTTCCTTCCCACAGAATAGTACTCATTTACCAACCTGGAACAGAAGAATGGCAATTGGGCTCGAACCCGAGACCTTGTCGTTCTAAGTCTGATGCTCTACTGACAGTAATCCCTCTGTTCATTATCTTCAAGTAGACAGATGAGTCTGAACAGTTAGTTTGATACTGCGCGTTATAATAGCCAAATAACTGCAGATATTGCTTTGTTCAATAAGGAACTAAGATAGATTGCACTGTGGCGGTGCAAAAATGGCTTTTAGAAAATGTGAGATTCCTTAAAATTGTTTTTTTTGGCTGAACGTGGTTTCAAATGCTGAGGTGGATCGTTGGGTTCTTCCCGCCATAACATGTCATTACAGAAGAAAAATTTCTGTCCGTCAAAACTGATGTTCTTTCTTGGCACACGACGTCGGCTGCCTCACCAATTTCAATGCCCAGTTCAGTCAGTACAGCTTCTGCGGCAAAACCCCATTCACGTTTGTGAAAAGTATCAGGCTCTACCAGAGCGCGTTCAGATCGGTAATCAGACGACATCTTTACGCGGAGATCATAAATGTTCTATGATAGCAGTCCAACGATCATCTCGCATTTTTTGATGATATCATTGAAGCCCGATGAACAAAGTTTCGTTCACCGTTTTTTGAGACGTAAATCGGTATCGAACTTATCGAATGAGTAACTGTAGAATAGTCAAAAATATTATCATCACTCACCTTCAGCATTTGTAGTCCAGAAATGATGGATCCTGGCAGATGTCGAGACAGCTGTTGTGACTGCGG